TCTAGTGAAATATAATTATAGAAAACAAAGTGTAGGACAGAAAACCATAAACAAAATCCAATTCCAATAGTACTGTTTTTCCAGTGGAAAATTGATGTAAAAAGTTATACATTATCCAAAAAACCCCCTGCAGTTTCTATAGGTATTCTCTTGTTTTCAAGCTCTCAGAGAACTCTACAAAGGGTATGTGAAGTTAAAAAACAAAATAGCTCCATGTTCAAATGGCCCAAAGAAAAGACTATAGATGGAATTGGACAGGTTTCTTATTATCTTGGTAACTGTTCTCCTGGCCTCTTTGAGCCTTTCATGTTGGCAATTTCTTTTTTTTCTTTCTTCTTCTTCTTCTCCTTTTTAAATCCTCACCCAAGGATATGTTTTTCATTGATGAGAGAGAGAGAGAGAGAAAGAGAGAGAGAGAGAGAAACATTGATGTACAAGAGAAACATCAATTGGTTGCCTCTCATATGTGCCCCAGGGACTGAACCTACAACCCAGGTATGTACCCTGACCAGGAATGGAACCCACAACCTTCCGCTGTACAGGATGATGCTCCAGCCAACTGAGCTCATGTTAGTAATTTCTTAATACCACCCCTCTGCTGTTACTTCCTACTGCCCCGGTCACCCCAGCCCCCATTTGAGGCATTAGTGGGGCTTCCTTTGGCATTGAGTATCTGGAGTAGACTGTCCAGCCTTAAGATGGCTGAGGAAAATTCTTACACAAAGGTCATGGCAAATGCTATCCAAACACGAAGCAAAAACTTGGTGAAAATGTTAGGAAATATTTGAAAGAGAAGTAGAAAAATGATCAATGTTTAGTTCTATGAGTTTTTAAAGGAATCAATTTTTAATTTTAATTTTTTTTCTTAAATGTTATTGATATTTAAAGAGAGGAAGGGAGAGAGAGAGAAACATCATTGGGACAGAGAAACATTCATCAATGCCTTTCAAACACACCCTGACCAGGGATCGAACCCAGAACCTGGATATGTGCCCTGACCAGGAATCGAACTGCCACTTTTTGGTGCGCAAGACAACGTTTAACCAACTGAGCCACACCAGCCAGGACAGGAATAATTTTTTTTTAAATTAGGCTATAGGGGAAATACAAAAGTCCCACCCTAGGAGATACATAGTGCCATATATTTAACTGCAAAAATTTATTTCTGCCTTCCAACTTCTTGACATTAGAACATTAAAAGCAATTGTTGTTAACCTCTCACAATGAGTTGACTGAGACAGATAAACCCTCTTGTAATAAATAATTCTTTTTCTAAATATTATTTTTAAACTTTAAATGAGAAAGCAACTCTTAAGAGGACAAAGCCATGTGGGTTTTTTAGGATTTTTGTTTTCCTGACTTGTTTGAAATGAAAGCCTCAAGGAAAATCTATTTTGACAGAATTTCAGTGTTATCAGTCAAACTGTTGTATGATTAGTATGTGTGATTTTTCTGCTTGTGTTTTAAATAATCTTTGGTTCTCAGTTTCTGAAAATGTATCTTACTGTGCTAAGAAGTACAGAACAATTTGTCTTAGCAGATGAGCCTCAGGCATTGTTTGTCAACTGCGGTTCTCTGTGTACATAATTATTTCCCCAAAGCTGGGGAAAAGTATGTCAGCACAGTGAGGATCCTGTGGTGTCTGTGCACTAGCAGCTGAGTTAACCTGTGCCATGTACACATTCTCCTTAACTGTAAATACAAGTTGGGGGGGTGGTTATAGTAAATGTTGGGGAAGGGTTATAATGAATGACTGATGTCAGTAGGAATGCAGTGAGAAAGTTGGAGGGGTACATATATGTAAGTGAATAAAATGTATACTCCTGGACCTAGAGGCTGGTGAACAGATTTGACCCTGAAGACGGTCTTCCCATTGACAAGGAAGGAAATTCCCAGGGAAAATGTTCCAGATGACCAGGACCAGCCCAGAGGCACACTGGAAGCTCGGTGCTGTGGAGGACACCGCCGTCCTGTTTACAAATATAACTGCACTTGTTTTTTATCCTATGTTACATGACTGGACTTTTAGTTTTTACCTGTAAAATAAAGAGAACCTGATGTTTTCACTTTCGTGTTGTGTATTAGAACCCGTGGAAGAATGATAGCATCGCACACTGTGTATGTGCAGTGGGAACGCTGGCCTGTCCAGCTCCCAGATATGCGGAATCTAATGAAGCGAAATCCTATTGTCCCTTTTAAAATAACCCAAAGGAGGAATCTCTCTCTAAAATGAACCAAGCTTTCTCCTGTTTCATCTTTAAAAATACTTTTTAAACATTGCTATATTTATTTACTTATTTAAATATATTTTTATTGACCTCAGAGAGGAAGGGAGAGGGAAAGAGATGTAGAAACATCAAGGATAAGAGAGAATCATTGATCGGCTGCCTCCTGCATGCCCCCTACTGGGGATCAAGCCTGCAACCTGGGCATATGCCCTGTCTGGGAATTAAACCCTGACCTGGGAATTAAACCCTGACCTGGTTCAACTACTGAGCCACACTGGCCAGGCTCATTAGACATCTTTTTTTTTTTTAATTTATCTAAGAACAATAGCATTAATCAAGCACTTCACATTGGCTCTGTCAGTCAATAGTTGAGTGAGTGAATATGCAGAATGGCCAAAGGTGAAAGTCTGATTAAAAGAATGGAAATCAGATTTATTAAACATACCCTGTTTTGCATTTCTGTTTCCAAACTTGAACTGGATTAAACTTGCGAACATTAGGAACACAATAATTTCATTCACTCAACAAAGTTTTACTGAATGTGTGTTATGTGCCAGGTACTGTGCTAGGCACTGTGCAAAGACAGCTCTATGTTTCCAAGAGACATCTGTCTAGCAGAAAAGATAGACATTAATTAAATAAAAACAAACTGAGTTTATTACGCTGAAGAGAACATGGTTCTCTGGAGCATGTAACCAAATAACCTGGCCCAGGATTGGCTGTCAGTGAAGGCATCTATGCGGAAAGGATGGTTGAGCTGAAATCTGATGAATGCATAGAAGTTGGCTAAGCAAAGGGAGAGGACTGCATTTCTGGTAAAAGGGCATAGCACATACAAAGGCCCATTTGTGGGAGGAATTATGAGTGTAAAGAACTGAAAAAAGGGTGGAGTATAGGGAAGGGGAGAGATAGAGTGTGACATGAGCCTGGAATGGCAGACCGGCCTGAGACCATAGAATATCTTGTAGGCTATGTGAGAAATCTAGGAAGACCAAGAGGGTGTGTTCTGATGGATGGCACAGTCAGCCCCATTGTTTTGAAACAAAGAAGGAGAACCAGAGAGATGCCAGGAGACCAGTTGGGTGATGACTATAGTAAGACTAGAAGCCCGTTGCACGAAGATTCGCGCAATAGGCCTTCCTTCCCCTGCTGGCCGGCCACCGGGTTTTCTTCCAGCACCCAGGACCCAGGCCTTTTGGTCCCGGCCCGCAAGTGGAAGAAGGCAAGGCCTTCGAGGCTTAGGCTTTTTCCCCTTCGGCTTGCGGCGGAGGCTTGGGTTTCTCCCCTCGGGGCACAAGTCTTTCGGGTATTCGGCCTTCCACTTCCGGGCCAG